ATTAGCTGACCTGCGCTTCTGTTCTTGTATATCAATCAATGATGTATCATGAACATTCGAAGCTCATCTTGGAGGCTACATCTGTTGACATATCACATGTTAATGGCATGGTTCGTTTACTGGTATTTCTTGTTTTTTTTAAGCTTAATGATGGAGGAGTAAGCTTTAATGTAGGAATTTAAAAGTATGGGGGGTCACAGGCAACTTGTAGCTTTCATATAGCGATAGGTTAGTTAATTCTGATTATGATCTGAACAACAGTGCCTAGTATCACAAATGGTTCAATGGTACATTTTCAGTCATTGTTGAGTTTAAAGCAATTGTATCCGCCAGTTCGAAATTCAGCAATCCATGTTCACTTAGGCTCTCATTTGGGCCAGTGCCATTTGGCCTAAGGATTACCCGTTCTGGACGGCTTTGCACCTTATAATTGTTGGGCTTCACGCTTAGCTCAAACCCTTTAAACCTTCAACTCTTTCTTAAATTAACTTAGGCAGTAGTATAATTTTGATTCTTTAACTGTTCAAGTACTCAAACTTCTTAAGTACCTCGGAGACGTGCTATATTAGGCCCAAGACTGGATTGATAACCAATCCATTAAATAATTGAAACATTGTAGGCATGGGCCTTTCAAGTTAAGTAGCGGATTTGAGCTAAGGGTTTTTTTCAGTAACGGAGATCGCCTTGTTCGGGTTCGGACTTGAGCTAGGGGCCGAATTTCCTTGAATACCATAATGTTAGTTAATTCATAATGTTAACAAATTAAGTTTTTTTAGAGACAATTCTTATAGATAATGCTAGTTCGTCTTTAGGTTGTCCTTTAAGAACGAATTGAGGTGCGCCGTGCAAAATAAAATCACAAATTGCGTGGCCCTCTTTAATTGCTTTATTAAAAATATTTTAGAAATTCGGGACGTGCCATTTAGCAAATTTTCATGGCCTCCCGCAAAATTAAAAAGACGCTAGCCACTTTAGGCGCGCTTTTTAATAATTTTACCTTCTTAACTACGGGTGTGCATTTCATGTGACCCAAATCCGAATCCCAAAACGTTGAATAAGAGGTGTCAAGGATCCGGGTGCATTTCATGTGACTTGATCCAAAAACACGCTCTTAAACGACGTTCATTTTAATAAAAACTAATTAAAAGCGGTTAAACAATTTGAAAATTGCAATAGGATAACATGTATTAAAATCAGACTTTAGCCAAATATAGCAGTTGAGCGACCTTGCTAGAACCACGGAACCCGGGAATGCCTAACACCTTCTCCCAGGTTAACAGAATTCCTTACCCGGATTTCTGGTTCGCGACTGTTAAACAGAGTCAAACCCTTTCCTCAATTCGGGATTCAAACCGGTGACTTGGGACACCATAAATCTCCCAAGCGGCGACTCTGAATTTCTTAATAAACGAATCCCGTCTCGATTGTCCTTTAATTGGAAAAACTCCCTTTATTATATCCCTTCCGGGGTGTAATAGTTAAAAAGGAGGTGTGACACGCGGTCCACAATAATAGTATTACCCACCGAAGTAGATACAAGAACGGAGGAAACAAGAGACTCACGGGGTGTATCCAAATAACGAGAAAAATACGACGACACATATGAAAAGGTGGAACCAGGATCAAAGAACACAAAGGCATCTCTATGGAAAATTGAGACAATACCTGTAATCACCACATCTGAAGCAATGGAGTCTGGTCTGGCTGGGAGGGCATAGAAACGAGACTGACCACCACCAGATTGACCTCCCCCTCTAGGGCGACTCCTAGCTGACAGACCCCCACCCCTAGCTGCCTAGGCGAGTGGTGATGTAACTAGAGCTGAAGTCGAGGGCCGGCCCCTCTGCAGAGATGAACCCCCAAGAAGATGAGAACACTGTCTCCTCATATGTCCTAAATCTCCACACTCATAACAACTCTCTGGTGCGGAGAACGGGGAATAAAGGGAACCCATAGGATCGGAATGACCAGTAGAAGGACCCGGTATGGAAGAGCCCTAAACTGATGGAGCATGGGACAAACTCTGGGATTGTAGGGCACTAAGTGATGAATCGCCCTAATGAGAACTGTGAGAACCATGGACCAATGATGCCCCACGATGAACTAGGCGAGCCGACTGAGCATGTCTGAATGGACGACCTTTCCTTGCTGAAACTGACCTCTCGAAGAACACCACCAAAACTACCAGATCCCTGAGGCCTCTTGGCCTCCGTCTCATCTCGATCCTGGTGACGAACTGACTCAATCTCGTGGGCAATATCAACTATCTGCTCAAAAGTAGCACCTGACACCCTCTCTCTGGTCATGAGAATCCGAAGATGATATGTGAGGCCGTCAACGAATGCGAAGGCTATTCTGGCCGTAGCGCATCGCGAACACGACAGGTCTCTCGCAAATGCGAAGAAGACCTGTCTAGTCTTTTAAAACAGAACCAGAATCGGGATTTTATCAAAAACTCGCAACTCCTTCATAAAAACTCGACCTAGGAGCAATTTTGAAGAGGGATTTCAACACCAATTCATAGGTTTGTGTTCTTCAACACATTTCCTTCAATTTTCATCAACACCCATTAGATTTTTAGCCCTAAATCTTATTCTTTCATGGTAGAATTTGGGATTTTAGGAAGAATTGGGGATTTTGCAAATTTGGGAATTTAGACTTCGATTTGGGGTCGGATTCCGAAACTAATTACATAGTTGGGCTTGTGGATGAATGGGTGAATGGGTATTGGTCCGAACCTCGAGTTTTGACCAAGAGGGCCCGGGGTCGATTTTTGACTTTTTTGGGGAATTGTTGGGAAACTTGTAATTTTGCTCTGGAATTGATTTCTTTAGCGATAATTGATATTATTAAGTTAATTATGATTAGATACGAATGGTTCGAAGGTGGAAACTAAGGAAAAAGCGGTGATTGAGGATTGATTTCGGCCGTGGAATCGAGGTAAGTGTTGTGGCTAACCTTAGCTTGAGGGATTAGGTATTGTTGCCTTATTTGGTATGTAATTAGTTGTTGAGTACGACGTATAGGTCAGATGACGAGTATCTATACCCTGTTGTCGGGTCATAGCATGTGAGTGAGTCTTATACTTGTGACTGTTGTATTTCTTTATACGTATTGTTCATGCTTAAACTATTTATTCTTTATGTTAAACAAGTCTTATTATGTTTTCCTGGTATTGGATATTGGTTGAGTATTGACTCAAGCTGAGATTTATATTTTGAAGTTAAATGCTGAAACGAGGTTTGTTATTGATGATTCCCTTGCTGGGTTGTTATTGTTTTTTTTGGGTGAGGATGAATGTAAAGCACGAAGGGTCATGCCGCACAATGTTTTGTGAGTTAGTGAGAAAGCGCGAAGGGTGATGCCGTGCCATATTTTGTGAGTATTAATGCACGAAGGGTGATACCGTGCCGTATTCTGAGAGTGATAATGCATGAAAGGTGATGCCCTACCATGTTATGTGAGAGTTACTGCATGAAAGGTGATGTCATGCTGTTTCTATTGTTTCTTATGATAAGGACGAGAGTAAAAGCACTAAGGGTGATGCCGTGCACATGTTTGCTATATTATTATTTCTGTTGGTGCAAATCATGACATTTACTGTGTGTCTGTACTGTACTATTTTTAGGATTTGATATTCCCCTCAGCATGCTTTCCTCCTCCCCGTTATTATCTGTAAAATTTCCGTTGTTGTTAGTTTCTCGTATATGATTTAACTGCATACGTTCATGTTATTATCATGTCCTAGCCTCGTCACTACTTCGCTAAGGTTAGCCTCGGCACTTACCTGTACATGGGGTTGGTTGTACTGACACTGCACTCTGCACTTTCTGTGCAGATTTCAGTACCGGACCTCGTTGACTAGAGTTGGGTTGCTGCCTTTAGTCCATTTGGAGACCCAAGATAAATCTTCTGACGTTCGCAGCCCCTGGAGTCACCTTCCATTTATTGTAGTTTCCTTGTTTTCTTTCATTTAGAGAACAGATGTATTTTCTTTAAACCAGTATTTGCAGAAACTCTTAGTAGTTCGTGGATTATGACACCAGATCTTTAGGTAGTCGTGTATTAGTGTTTAGATTGTTATAAAACTTCCGTACCTCTTATCTTGTTTTAGTTTAAATTTTTGTTAATTACTGTTTTGGTTAGTGATTAGCGTGTTAGATGTTTACTTGTCGGCATGCCTAGCATTCTAAAGGTTAGGCGCCATCACGATCCTGATGGTGTGAAATCTGGGTCCTGACAGTTGCGTACCTTAACAACTTCGTTATGCTCCTTGACTACCTCAAAGTACTTGTCCATCCTCTAAAGTAAGTCGTCCACCTCGCGTGCGTCCTGTGCACCGCCATATTTCTTTTTCTTAGGGACCATCACATTTGTTCCTTTTGCAAGTACCACGCCCTTGGTAATCCCGATCATGGTTCCCTAAAAAGCTTCCTTCTAGCAATCTCTTGCATTCTTTCTATCATTCTTTAGTCATAACCTTTGCTCTAATACCACGTGTCACGTCTTTAGTCTTGAACTAAGCACACGTGCGGCACTTGACAACTTGCCCACGATCCTACTATGCCACGTCATCCTAAAATAAATAACTCAATATTGCTAAAGGAATGTTAGATAATAAAGACAAGAGAAATTTTCCAAAGAAAACTTTTTATTGTAGAGAACTAGATTGTTTTGCTTGGTGAGTTACAAATGAATACCCCCTATTTATACTAATCACCTAGGGGCTAGTATGTAAATAATAATTATTCCACAAGTCCTTATATATTTACAAATAAGTACACTGTCTAGAATTTTCTACATGACTATAACATTCCAGGGCTTTCCAAAATAGTCTTCCTACCAAGTCCATAAATATCTAGAGCTTTCCCAAGGAAATTCTCCATAGTTCTAGAATATTTCACCAAGAGCTAGTCCCTAACTTATGTAACCCTTCCATATGGAAAATATATATATCAAGTGGCACCTACATAGCAAGATGATGTGGCGGGCCATGACACTAAGCTTAGTAATAACAGTCTTAGATGGGTGAATACCAACATTAACTGTGGATCCATTAACCTTCTCATGTGTTATACACTCAATGTGAATCACCCATTTCTTGCGATAAACTTGGACAACTTTACCCTCACGTCCCTTGTATGTTCCTCGTACTACCGGAACATCGTCGTCTTTTCTTACCGGCATTAATCGTACGTTGTACTTGGTGTGTAAGTCGGAGGATAAGGGTGGGCTCATTAACACTCGGCGGACGCTAGATGGAGCTGTGAAATGGGCCTTTTGGCTTTTTTGGCACGAAGAGGAAACTCTTGGATTGTACTTTATTTTGGCGAAGCTAGTTCACACACCCTGCAAATGCGGCTGATGAAGAAAATCTAATAGTACTTTCTTTTCATGTTATAGATAGAGTATTTTTATTTTTATTTTCTAAATGAGTATTTTCTTTTCATGATATAAAAAAGTTTTTTTTTCATGACGTAGAAAATTTATTTTCTTTCATTTCAACAAAATGATGCAGTAAAAAGTATCTTCTTTAATTTCAGCGAAAATAATATTTTCTTATTCATGATGTAGAAAAATTATTTTCTTTTATTTCAACAAAATAAATATTTTCTTTTCATGATGTAGAAAAAAATATTTTCTTTCATTTTAACAAAATGAGTACTTTATTTTCATGTTGCAAAAATAGTACTTTGTTTTTCAACCAAAAAAAGAGTATTTTGTTTAATTACGGAGCACAAATTTCAACGTTGTTTTTGTATACAAAGTAGCACATTAGTTCCTTTGGGTTTGTGTAAATTTTTAGAAGAATAATTAAATTCTTGAAGGAAATAGAGTCATGAAAATGTTGGGTATTTGGGAGGGGAAGGGGGAGGGGAGGGGGAGAGCACAGGAAACATAGGAACTTGGGGGGTGAGGGGGTGGGGGGCGGGGAGGGGGGGTGAGGAAAGTAGACACAACAACAACAACAACTACAACAAACCAGTAGTTTCCCACAAGTCGGGGTGAGGAGAGTAGCATAAAAAATTATTTTCCTAAAAAATATTTTCAACTCTCTAACAAAACACTAGAAAATATTTTCCGAAAAAAAGTTTTCACTCACCAACCAAACAAGGAAAAATAAGTGATAAAACCACTCATATTCCATAAAAACATTTCTAGGAAAACATTTTTCATGGAAAACATTTTCCTTCGTACCAAAACCACCATTAATGAGAAGCTTTTATAACCACATAAATGTCATGGCCCCACAAAGCTTTTACCCCTTAAACTTTTAAACATTCCTAAGCGAGATTTCTGGATACACCATTACATTTAACCTTTAGTAGATCAGAAGTAATATCCTTTTTATATTTTGAATGTGAACAATAACTCTCTAGGATGAAATTTACTCATATTGAGGCAACTTGTAATATGATATGAGTGAGGATATGACCCATAATGTAACGACCCGACCGATCGCTTTGAGAATTAACATCCCGTTCAGTGGCTTAAGGCCGTGAGCAGCTTCTAATGTTGACCTGCGTGTGTGGTCGAGTTTAATTTTCGGATGATTCGGGATCAATTTGGAAGAAACAATTGTTGTTTTGAAGCTTAAGTGAAAATAGTTGATTAGAGATTTGACTTTTGCGCAGAAGACTCCGAAATGGTGTTTTGATGATTCCAATAGCTTCGTATGGTGATTTCGTACTTACGCGTGTGTCCAAAGTTGTATTTGGAGGTTCGTAGAATAAATTGAAACTTTTTGGAGAAAGCTGGAAATTGGAATTCGGAAGTGTTACCGGGAGTTGAATTTATTGATATCAAGCTCTGATTTCGATACTGAAAATTGGAGTAACTTCGTTATGTCATTTATGACTTACGTGCAAAATTTGAAGTCATTCCGGATTGATTTGATACGTTTCGGTGCAAATTATAGAATTTTGAAATTTCACAACTCATAATTCGATTCGAGGCGCGATTCTTAGTTTCGGTGTTGATTGATATAATTTTAGGCCTAGAATATGCTCGTATCATATTTTGGGACTTGTTGAAATGATTTGACGGGGTCCCTAGGGGTTTGGGTGTATTTTTGGATCATTGGTTGAGAGACTAGTAAAGTTAAGAAATCGGGAGTTTGACCATAGTCAATATCGGGTCAAGACGACCTCTTTTCAGTATTTTGAGTGCGCGAGCAGTTCCATAGCGTGCTTTATGATTGAAATTCAAATATGTTTTGTGTCCGGGAGGTTTCAGATGAGTTTCAGGGTGGTCTCGGATCATTTCGGAGAAGTTTGAGTTTCCTGGTTTCTGGTGTGGCACTGTTCATTCTTAAATACGAAGTTTTTGTCCAGAAATACGAACCAAGACAGAAACTTAATGACCAAAAATTGTCATTTTCTTCATTTCGTTTTTCGAGTTCGAAGCTCGGTTTTTGAGCGATTTTGGAGGAGTTCTTCAGGACTTTGACTTGGGTAAGTGTTCTATTTCTGAAAGTGATTATATTTCATAAATCCATGGTTATATTCATCATTTATTTCAGATTTAATTGAAAAAATTGAGAAAAATTGTGAAATCTTTCGAAAATGAAAAATGTAGATTTGGCGGATGATTTATTATTGGAATTCGATAAACTTGGTACGGAATGGGTGTTCGGATTTCGTAAAAATTCTGTCGGGTTCCGAGATGTGGGCCCCGTGTTGGCTTTCGGGTTGAATTTTTAATGTGAAATTTAAAGTCGACGTTTTATTATCCTGAATTATTTCCGATAAATTTTAATGAAGTTATGTAATTAATTTGGCTAGATTTGAGCTGTCCGGAGGTCGTTTGTGTAATGTGAAAGTCGTGTGCGCGAGGTAACAAGTATGTACTCGAGCTTATATGTGCAAATTTTATTAGTTTGAAGTCTTAGGCATTTTTATTTATTAAGTTGGAAATTATTGGCACTTATTAATCCTTATTTGTCATGCCTCATTTTTTGTTTGTCGAATTTGTTTTATATGATAATTTGGTGTTATTGCTAGTTTGATTTTAATGGAATTCTGTGTGTTTTAGTTGACATTTCTTGGAAATAAATACATTATGGATTTTCCATTTTCAAATAATTAATTAAATACATTTAAAAAGAGACATTAATATATTTATCAAAAATTCAGAGTAAAGAAGACATTGTCCTATGTTGAGTTATTTTCCCCATCCTTTGTTTTTTTTTTGGTTTTATATACATTGTGTTGAGCTGTGGGCTATCTTATGTGAAGTTGATTGACTTCGTTGTACCATTGAAACGGTTGTGGCCTACAGGGAATTTGTAAATACAAGTTGATTATGTTGTGTTGTGATAATATTCTGTGTGAATTGTTGTGTGATTTAGGTTACTGTTATGCGGCATATACGGGTAGCATTCCACTGTTGATTTTATGCGGGCATAAGGGTGGGAGTTCACTGTTGTTATGTGTGTTGGGATACAGAATGATTAGGAGGCTATCAAACAGAGCAATAAGGGAGGCTATTATAGGAGTGATAAGGGTGGCTATATGAACGATAAGTGTAACGATCCGACCGGTCATTTTGAGTATTACAGCTCTGTTCCCCCATTCACAGATCAATTTGTGATTTACAGTCGTTATATGACTTGCCGGGGAATTTGGTTTGGGTACGGTGAGGTTTTGAAATGAATTGAGACACTTAGTCTCCAAGATGACAACTTAAGTTGAAAAGGTGAACCGGATGTTGACTTATGTGTAAACAATCCAGAAATTGAATTTGGATGATTCCAATTGCTCCGTATGGTAATTCTGGACTTAGGAGCGCGTCCGAAAAATTATTTGGGAGTCCGTAGTTAAATTAGGTTTGAAATGATTAAAATAGAAATTTAAGTTTGGAAATTTGACCGGGGATTTGAATTTGATATCGGGGTCGGAATCCGATTCTGAAAATTGGAATAGGTCCGTATGTCATTTATAACTTGTGTGCAAAATTTGAGGTCAATCGGACCTGATTTGATAGGTTCAGCATCGAATGTAGAGGTTGGAAATTGTTAGTTTTCATTAGGTTTGAATTGTGGTATGATTCCTGTTTATAGTGTAGTTTGATGTGATTTGAGGTTTCGACTAAGTTTGTGTGATATTTTTAGAGTTGATGGTATATTTGGTTGAGGTCCAGGGGGCCTCGGGTGAGTTTCAGATGGTTAACGAATCAAATTCGGACTTAGAACAAAGCTTGAAACCTTCTGCCTTCTGATGCAATCGCATCTGCAGAATTGGCTCGCAGGTGCGAGATCGTAGAAGCAAAGCGTGAGGACCGTAGAAGCGGACAAGACCCCGCAGAAGCGGAAAATGGGAAGGGGCAGCCTCATCGCAGAAGCGGACAGCTTCTTCGCAGAAGCGAGTCTACAGAAGTGGACTGCTATCCGCATAAGCGCCTTTAGCCGCAGAAGCGTCGTTGCTTCCCATCTGTGGGACCGAAGATACGGCCAAGTGAGCCGTAGATGCGAAAACCCCTGGACAGAATACAATCAGAGGGGTTGTAGGATTTTGGCATTTTTGGACATTTCACACACGGGTTGAGGCGATTCTTGAGTGATAAATCATGGGAAATTTTGAGGTATGTCACTTGTGGTCATTGTTAGTCAATAATATTTGATTATCATTGAGTATTTCAACTCGATTAAATGTTTTTGAGGTGAAATTAAAGGATTAGGGCCTAGGGATTTCAAAATAAGAATTTAAGATTCGAAGGTCGAGTTGATGTCGGAACTTGGTAAAATTTATATGGTTGGACTCATGGTTGAATGAGCGTTCATATTTTGTAAATTTTGTTGGGTTCCGAGATGTGGGCCCCACGGGCGATTTTCATATGGAATTAATTCTAGTAATTTGTATTGACTGATTCGAATTAATTGTGACTAGATACAAGGCATTCAGAGACCGATTCGCGGGACAAAGGATATTGGAAAAAAAAATTACACGATTTGTTGTGTAACATTTCTAAACCTTGTTGTGAGGGTATGAATCCCAGAATTACGTGTTGTATGAATTGTTTGGAGATGACGCACATGCTAGGTGACGGGTGTGTGTGCGTTCATCATAGGAATTGTGACTTAGTTGATTCCGTGGAGTTGCATGATTAAATAAATGTCATTATCCGCATATCCTCCACGTATTAGAGAAATTGAGCTGATACTCATATTGAAGATTATGTTTAGGCTACGCGCTGATGTATTTTGGGACCCATATGGGTTGTATTGCTGCTGAATTATT